AAGTGGACGACAATAAATTTTTTCGTGTAACGTTTATATTGAATGACACTTGATCTGCAATGTCCCGCGACTATTAGTAATTTCATTTCAACGGATTTTAAATTACTGCACGTGTTTAATTTGATGTAAAAATAAGTATTATTATATGAATAAATGTATAGCATAATTTTGTGAATTTAAATAAGTAATAAATACTCCTAACATAAATTCTATATAAGGTGTGTTATTATTATCATATGCTATTTAATGCTATGAATAACACATTTTTAATTCCTGACGGCTTTCCTATTAACGTTCCCATTCGATTTTTGCAAACAAGTCCTTGATATTGACATCTGATGTGTCAATAATAAAAGAATGTGCAAATTGTGCAAATTGTTCATATTCCAATTTTGACGTGTATTCATAGAGAATGTCTTCCTTCCTTCATAATTTTTTGGAATGACTGTTTAAAAATAACTGTATGCGTCCCAAGTCTTTCAAGCTTTTCTTCATTCTTGTTCTCTTTTGTTGTATTACTTACGTCACCGTCGTCAGATTCTATTTGAACACTTGGTCCAATTATAATTTCTTTTGGATGTATACTTCCATTTTAAATCTATCATTAAGAAAGGTTAAATACATAATTCAAACATAATGTAAAATGAGTTTAATTATATTACCTGATTCACTGAAATAATGGTGTAGGTCCAACATTTAATTAAATAGGGTGACGACAAATGACGATAACCACCATTCTTCTTACTTATTCAAAATATTCATCGCAACTACTTTCTTTGGTTCTTTTTATTGTGGCATTTTTAATAATAATAATTAAAATTTACCGGAAAATTTCCGAAAGCAATAGATTCTTCCGGCTCTTTTAATTTACTTTTACTTTTTGTATCCTGATTATTAATTAATGATGTTAGCCGTTAAAAAAATCCTTAGCTGGCTGAGCCTTTTACTACCTAAATTGGTAATTTTATTTCTATAACCAGAAGGTAATGCGGAAATTTATTACCAAATTTAGAATTATGTATGCAGATTATTAACCAGCTAACATCACTATCATCAGTGTGTCCAGGACATGTCCCATGTACAACACTGACTATCACTAATTACACGCGTATGGGTTGTATGCAAACATATTGATTTTTTTTTGGTTAGACAATATTTTCTACACGAGGAATGTTGTATGGTATGTTTTTTATAAAGAAGACAAGGTGTTATGATTTATTAATAGTAAGAGAGAGTTAGACTATTTTTTTATTTTTATAAATAATTATCGTTTTATATAAATGTATTGATATGTATTAAAAAATTTTTCTGACAAAATTACCAATTATTATTATGTAAATAGTAAACAATCAATGATTGACAAAATTAAAAACTTCATTATATCGAGCTCTAGTTAATATAATACCAAGTAAAACTTCACTATATGATTATATCAAAGATTTTATATTAAAATCACTATATGATTATATCAAGATTTTATATTAAAAATCACTATATCGAGCAGAATTTATATGTAATGAATGAAATCGAAAAAATTTCTAACTTCATTATAGTGTTGCGATCCGGATTGTTAACGGATTAACGTTATTGTTGTTGTTGTTGTTGTTGTTGTTGCTGTTTTAGAAATAGAGGAAACCCGACAAGATATTAATTTTTTTTTAATAAAATATAAT